GCTATATCTTTTTTATGTTTGTAACTGTAAGCCCTGCAGAACAAAAGATACCAGTGCTATGAAGCAGGCATTTAGGTCCCAGAAAATGGCCCAGTGCTTGCTATGACCACGTGTCATTGCTTCACTTTTCTGAACTCACTTTTGGGCCATTTCAAGAGACATGTTCTAAACAAAAACATTTAATCAAAATCCTGGGTGTAGGACAACATTTGGAGGAACAATCCACCGACTATCCACTTCTGGTGTGATAAGATTTTGGTAAATTTGTGTCCAGGCCGAAACAAAACACTTTCTTTCAGACTGAAAAGCAAAGCTGCATTTAAGAAATGGCAGTACAAATATATGCCATTTTTTTTCAGCTGCTTCAACGTTCCCATGTTTCCAAATGGAAAGATGACCATATATACCATTGTATAATGTAACTCTTGGATGAAAAGGAAGGTGAATGGTGAGGAAGGTGTTTTATTATACAAGAAACAGATTTAACAACTTGTCAGGATTAAATAAAAATAAAATGTCTTTATTTTACATCATGAATCATCAGTTAGGATATTCAACAGCATCTGCACAAATAAATTCCCTATCGCAGCTGAAAATGCTCATGTGGTTCAGTTACGGGGATATTGCAGGTTCAGTCAACATTGCGTTGGGCTCCCATTCCCTCTAATAGCAGAATTAAAAGTGACCACACATATTACTATCTGATTGTACAACTGTGTAATTCAAGGGCCTACCTAACCAATCCATTCAAGAACTTCAGCATCAGTCCCGGCAGGACACCTACACTAAATGTATTCAACCCCTATATTGCCCTGTGTGTTACCCCCTCTCACACACCATCCCCGCACACAGTCATAATTTGCTTCACATTTTATCTGTCAAAAGAAATATCACAAATTGTGTTCCGTATAGGCATGTTGGTATATAATATGAATAGATTGTTCGGCTTCATTCATATTAACAGCACACACCTGCGGTAATATGCTGTGCACTAAAATAATCTTGCATGCATTTTTGTTGTTTTTGTTATGCCCAAAATGCATGTAAAATGTACGTAAAAGCAAGTACATTGAAACAGAGACGCATAATAGTTCATTATAAAAACTGTACACCGGGCAGATGTTGCTCACACAGCACTAGCACCCCTAGATGGCGCTGACAAGTATAGGATATTCTTTTAGGAAGCTACTAAATGGTGATGAAATTAATCAGGAGTAAAGTAACATGACCAGGATTTCAAAGTTAAATTCGGGGGCAACCCTACTGACCATCCTCCCTTATAAGCACCCCCTAAAAAAAACCACGCCCCCATTTGTAGTCTCCCCCACAAAATCACACATAATTTTTAACTTCCCTTGCAGAAACTTTTGAATCAAGAGGTAGATGTTCAAGGTATAAAGACAAAAAAAACAACATTTCAAATAATAGGCATCAAGAAATGCATGCAAAGCTGGGAGGGATGCCTTGAGTGTTATCAATAATAAAAATATGTAGTTCACCACCCGCTGGACACATAGAGGTGTGGCAAAAAGGGGGGGGGGCGGTTGCTTCACGGTGTATGACTTGTGTGGCAGTAAAATAAGCCCCTGCAATTTGCAGGCATACCCCAGGACAGCTGAAGCCAAGGCCCAAAGCGTAGAAGGGGTTAATGAGTCCCCTGGCCTCAATCTCCAATAAAAGGCCCTAGGGTGACTCTGCTCAGGGGCCACAGAGTAGACGAGGGAAGGCAGGAGGTTGGTGTGGAAGCCCCAGGGGGAGCTGTGCTCAGGGACCCAAGGAGAAGAAGAGGAAGGTAGATGTTAATAAAGCATTGCACAGAGAGGGACCCTAAAATACCTAGAGGCTGAAGGTTTCTAGTGAGGGACCCCTGTGACTCTGCTTAGGGGCTACAGGAGAAAGAGTGGAAGGACAGGTTACATGATGCTGTAAGGGAGGCTTAGGGGCCACAGGGTGAGTTTGGGTGGGTTGAGGATGAATGGGTCCCATTGAGGGGCCCTGGTGAGCTCTGTCCAGGCACCACAATGTTCACAAGAAGAGTAAGAGGGCTCTAACCTCTGAGCTGCATCTTGGGAGATCCACCTCACCGCAGTCTACTCTCCTCCTCTCTCCTAGAATGTAATCAACTCTCAGCCCAGCCCCCTCCACCCTCTGTACTTAAGTTTACTTCTTCTATTGCTGCATCAGCAGAGTTGGAGCCCATATGCAGCCCCAAACTCATTTGGGGACCCTTTTTATCCACGGACAGCATCCTGAAAACATGGAGATCGGAGGTGCCTGATCAGCCTATGTTAAAGATAGCCAAAATGGTGCCATTCACAGGGTTAACAACTTTATGCTTCAGTGTACAAGTCTTTACCTGTGTCATATGAAGAAGAAAGTACATGCATTTTGTGTCATTTATTTTGTAGGGAAACTAGAAAAAATGGTACATGCATGAATCTATAACCGGCCTTTATAGCAGGGCGCACATTGGGAAGGCTTACAACAATACAAAACACAAAAATTCCCCAGCCTCAACCTGCCAGCCAGCTCTGATTTTAACGCATACTGTTGACAGGGCTACTTGTTTGGTTGCAGGCTGGCTGGCAGGTTGAGGCTGGGGAATTTTTGTGTTTTGTATTGATTTATTTTGTAGGGAACGCATGTAAAGTGATTGCAAGTGATATAAACAACATGGACAATTGAAGCATACGAATTGAAGTAGAAAATGCATAAAAGTTACAAAATAACTAAAGGCAAAACCTGGAGTGAAGAGGGGTTAGAGCCACTGTCAGATTTGTTTTGCTTTCTCTGCCCCTGTTATGAAGAATCACCCTCATCTAATTGTCCTGATTGTTGAAAATGAAGGTGAGAATATATCCAAAATTGTGAGTGCCACCAGAACAGGAATAGAGGGGAAACCTTCCAATGGGAACACTTGTTCCTGTGACAACTGTCTGAGAGGGGATTTCACATTGGAAAGATATTCTCTCGTTTCCTGTCTACAGTACAGAAAGCGAAGGAAAATTGCCCCAAGGGAAACACAGATGGCAAGAAAGAAAACAAAACCTGACAGTGGTTTTAACCAATTCCCTACTCTATGCAAAAAAAAAAAGATGTTTTGAGTTTAGATATACAGTCCATGAAGATAAAAAAATACAAAAACAAAAGGTTTTTGCTACTTTCCATCAATATGCTTCTACGTGCTGAAAAATGTTAATAAACCCATTATTGTGATGCTAATTCTAATGAGAGTTGTAAACCATCACCCTTTTTTAGTCAGTTAAGCCCACTAGAAGCTTAAACAGATGATAGAAGAAGGTAAACAGAGAACAAAAACATATGGTTCTGCTATGTCAATGGAGAAGGAATATGGGAAGAGATAAGTAGTGACAGCAGAAGCTGTTTAACTTAGAGATTGGCATCTCATGTCGGCAAATGAAAGCAAACCTGTTGGGGGACTTTTGACTTATATTCATATTTCCTATAAATAGCCGACACTTCCATGTGTCAGCTCATTGCATCTGATTCCACTGCATAGCACCCCTTAAAAGTTACAGAGCAAGTACCGACTGCTCTGTCCCCATCTCCTCCTGCCCTTACTATTGGCCCAAGTTAGTACCTGAGAAGAACACTGGATCCAAGAACCAGGCACAATATGTTTCTCCAGTTCATTAAGTCCACACACCCTACTGGCACTAAGCTTCCCACTTTCATTCAACAGATCCTTAACTGGCCACTGAGAATTTCTCACTTGACAGTCGAATGACGGAGGCAGAGCTTAGGACCAGCAGAAGGTAAGGCTTGTCCTTGACTTGGGGAGAAAGAAGGTCCTGTATACAGCCTAAGCCTTGTCCTTCCCAAGTACAAAGGAATTCATATAAACACAAACATATATACTAGCAGGCACCACAAGGTAAAAATACATTATGTACTTCAGATGACTTTATTGGTTGACTTTAAAATGATCAGTAGGCTTTATCAGTAATTCAAGCAGTATTTATCTCAACTAATCAAAGTTAATCTCTTAAACTAAAGTAAAACAAAATCTGGATGGTATACATTACTATACTCTCCTCATCAGGTTGGCTCCTGACACTGTTTTATTAACAGGGTTATTCACTAAGGGTGAAGAGTTTGGAGAAGGCGGGAGAAGTGAACAATCTAGGCCAAAGTAGCTGAACTGGAAAGTGAGCTGAATTGGAGAATTTTACCAAATCAACTATGTTGGCCTAGATTGTTCACTTCTCCTGCCTTCTCCAAACTCTTCACCCTTTTGTGAATAACCCTGTAAATATGTTCCATAGTGTACCTTCATAAATGGATGGGATTTTATGTTGAAGAAAGTAATGACCTCAAATGCAGAAGTGCCACCAAATATCTATGGTTAGGCCACTCCCTACACAACCCACATTCTGGGTAATCAAACCTGCTGCAATGTTCTCCACACAGGTGCTATCCAGTTCTAGATGGCTAGGCAATGGGCCAGCTGTGAATCCACATAGGTAAATATGTATGCCTATTTTGGCTGGGAAAACCCAACCAGTCAATTCTTCAGCTGAGATTGGTCAGCTCGGTGTCTTATAACAGTGGCAACTTTAACATGTATAAAACCCTTTAATAGTTTGTTCTGCACTTGATTTCCTGGGAGCTCTCTAAACTTAGCTAGCTAAACTTATCGTCCAATAATTAAGTTGCCCACATTCAGAGCCTGTCATTGCTGCTGACTGCCAATTTCAACTTTTTCTATTTGAAAATTAAATTACTACTAAAAGGTTTAATTTCCCTTGTTTATATCCTTATCATTTGGCTTTATGTCCTAGTAAGTCACTGATCTGAAACAGGTATGGAGGTAAAATTTCTGACTTTACTGGCAGCATACTTGTTTTACAATGACAACTAGGGAAATGTCAGCGTTTGAAAACAGTTGGCAATGGCGATTCCTACATGTTCGTTTTAAAGGAACTGAGGTGGACGGTAGCCTTCTAGCAATGTCCATAGACATTTTAACAGGATCTGGCTTGCACCCAAGTTTCATGATAAAGTCAGAACTGTGTTCAGAATTAAAGCTGCATCATAAGTCATAATCATCAGACAAGGCATTCAGATAATCAGTATCTGCATATAAAAGAAATCCGGAAAACAAACTGTCTGCCCAGCTGGGGTCTGAGAACAAACCATTCTGATCTGTAAAAAAAATCTCAAGCCAGACTTCATCTTCTGGCTTTAGGTAAAGAAGTGTTGAGCCCGAGGCAACATCATGATTTCCCGTGTTGGCATCAAATGTCTTTATTTTGTACTCTCCGTTTTGTACAAGGCTGATGGCCAGGTGCTTGTTTGCAAGAGTGATGTCATAAGAGAAATAATAAATTCCAGGGATGGCACAAATAAATTTCCCAGTGGATGGGTTGTAGTGCTCTCCCTCATTAAATATTATTTTGTTGAATACGATTGGAAGTCTTTCTTGTGGGTAGCTGGTTGTGATCCCAACTGAAAAAGCAGATTTAAGCACAATATTTCCACACTTGCACACACCAGGTTCTCCTGTATCTCCCCGTGAGCCTTTATCACCCTTGGGTCCAGCAGGTCCATCATGCCCAATTCCCCCTATGTCTCCAAGTGAACCAATTGGCCCTTTTTTACCAGTCTCTCCTTGATCTCCTTTCTCACCAATAGGTCCCAGTGGTCCAGTTTTTCCTCGGAAACCTTTAATATAAATGTCAGAATTGTCATTAATAATGGATTTACCAATTCATAAATAGCAACTGACGCTTAAATATATAAAACAGAAATGAATGGCTTCTAATTATGGAAAAAGAAACATGTTCATGATGTACCAGATTAAAGATGACATGCCTGATGGTTATTAATAATGATCCAAGGATAATACAGTTTTTGTAAACTCTATGATCACATGATTATTGTTAAAGTCCATCTCCATCCTAAATGTTTTGGATAGAACGTTGAAGGGTTAGAACTGTCCCTTATTGGAAAATTACTCTTACTTCCTGTGATTACATAAAAGGTCATGGAAGTCAGGAAGTAATGTAAATCTCTCTAAACTGGGGCACAGACATAAACAAAAAAACCTTTTTAGTAGAGTGAGGTGGGATTAGATTTTTTTTTTACGATTTGTTGTGCCTTCTCATCATCCACCCCCATTTCTTGTACAGGGACTCATGAGGAAGTACATTTTTATTCTTTCCTATATTTCCCTTTCCTATTCTTCTTTGGTTTAAAAAAATTGGTTAGGCTTTAAATGTTTTTAGGAGGGAGATCATAATTTTGGTAGCAATTTTGCAATACATATAAATTAGCATCCACTAAATAGACTAACCCTCCTTCAACCTGTTATAGATGCTGCCGCTGGACTTGTATGTTCCTGTTCTATTAGCACTCTAGCCATCTCTGCAATGCCTCCCTATAGTTTTCCTATAAAACCCCAAAGGCTCTGAACCTTTTATCTTCTATTTAGGCTCTATGTATACAGTAAACTGGAACATTCACTTCCCCTACAAACCTCTCTTCTTCACAGGTCACCATGTCTCACTTGTCTCTCTATTTCCTCTTCTGTATGCCAATAGGCAATCACCAGCCCTCCAAGTCTTTTAATCCAGCCTTAAAGGGAACCTGAATTTATAAAACTGAACAATATTAATTGAGCCCAAGCAGTACCTTGAAAAATGTACCCTTTACCCCAAATTCCTCCTGAAAAATAGCAGTGCATTTTCTGGTATGTGGGGGTACCTAGGCCTAGGTACTTCTAGTGAGTACCTTCATAGCCGTACATCTGCAATATGAGATCTAAGGCACTGCTGTCTCTGACTGCTATTCACAGGAGATTTGGTGTGAGATTTTATGAGGTCCCTGCTTCATTTCTGACACTCTCCTTCCTGGAGGCTCTGACATGAGGAATCAAAGCCCTGCCTTTAGCAAGATGGCTGCTTCCAAACAGAGACACAATTGCAGAACAAAGTATAGTAAGTCAGTAATTGGGATAATATTAGGGGTAGGAAGACCACAGAATGGGAACACATAACGAACATTGGAGGGGTTTTCTCAAATTTAACTGCAAAAGTGGAAATACGCTTTTAAGATTTTTCTTGATTCCCCCTTTAACGATGAAGAGCATAGAAGGGGAAATCTACCCTGTTGCCATTGTATCCTGATTGTTTACAGTCACTGGTGCTGGTAAATGCCAATTCAGCAGGAAACAGCCTAAATTCAATCTGTGTATGGCCAGTTTGGGAAAATAGTAATATGAAAAGTATAACAGCCAAGCAAAATGTATTTATTACTGCAATGATTTCAGTTAATGGAAATGTCATCAAACACTATGGATTCCAGTATTTTGTGTACTATTGTCTACATTGTTCAATGCATTGCTTAAATGGCACAAAGTAGCATCTCGACACAGTGACCAAGGCAACCTGTGAAATGTCAGCTCACAATATACCAACAACAGGGCCTAAGAAATAATAAAATACACTAAATACAATCATGTATTAGGCTCAATTCACAAAGCTAAAACACCAGGATTAAGTTCGCCATACACAGCTTGAATTTCATCCAGGGGAATTGAGTGATTTCTCACTCGTAAAGAGAAATATTTACTAATATGCCAGCTTTAGAATCCTTGGTTCTAAAAAAGTGAGTTATTTTCAGTAGCCTGAAATTTGAAAATTGCGGTCAAATGGCTAAAAAAAGCTTATTTTCCTTGTGTAAAGCCTGGTGAACTAAGCCTATCGGGTTGATTTACTAAAGGAAGATAGGCTGTTCACCTTGTAAGGGAATTTTCCATTAGCTTAGTGAATAAGGTGAAACTCTGCTGACTTCTGGCATTCAATCATGTACAAGAAAAATACTGTTGTTTTTATTTTCCCTGCTTGTGATTGGGCATTCCTTGCAAAGTGAATTTTCGCCACATTCACTAAGCTAAGGGAAAATTCCCATGCAAATGTCCTTGCAAAGTAAACAGCCTATTTGCCTTTTGTAAACCAGCCTCTATGTGTGCTGTTACTCCTTGCAATATTTCAATATTTATACAATTCCCCCTGATATTATATCAGCAACAACAAGCAGATGTGTTTTACCTGCGGTGCCCTTTTCACCCTTTTCTCCTTTCCTGCCATCTCTCCCATCTCTTCCTGGAAGGCCAATCCGTCCATGTGGCCCAACTAATCCATTTGCCCCAGGGGATCCCGGAGGCCCTGGTAATCCTGGTATGCTACAGACATACCTTATGTTCTGGTGATCTCCTTTCAGTTTATTGTTCAATGGTTGTCCACTGGCACAAAGAACAAAGCTTGTAATGTACAGCAAAATAAGCATCATCGACCCTGCAGGGAAAATATTCTGTTATATTTTCATGTACTATTAACCCTTAAACAACAAAGTTAACAGCTTAATTTCATTTGACATGTAGGAGAAAATCTCACTTCTTTACTTTAAAGAGCAAATCTTAGCAGTAAGTGAAACCAGTCAATGAACTGCTAAAACTATCCATAAAACATTGCAGTGTTTTTAAAGGGACCTTTCCATAACTTAAACTGTGTGCAGCACAGTGGCTTAGTGATTAGCACTTCTGCCTTGGAGTACTGGGGGTCCCCGATTCATATCCTGGGCAGTACACTATCTGCAGAAGGTTCTCCCTGTACTTGCTTGGGTTTTCTCTGGGTTCTCCGGTTTCCTCCCACTCCATGCTGGTAGGTTAATTTGCTTCTGTGTAAATTGGCTCTGAATGTATGTGAGATAGGGACCTTAGATTGTAAGCTCCTTGAATACAGGGACTGATGTAAATGTGCACTGTGTATATTGTCAGCAAACTATAAATTCCTGTAATAAATAAACCCAAACTCTATTTCTTAGTATGTTTGGCACCATGCCTCGCCGTATACAGTTTCCTTAAGTACATTTTTCTTTGTGAGTCTTTTGCAAAGTTTCTTACCTTACTCTCCAGGTAAGAAACTTTGCAAAAGACTCACAAAGAAAAATTTAATTAAGGAAACTGTATACGGCGAGGCATGGTGCCAAACATACTAAGAAATAGAGTTTAGTAATACAAAAAGGAGTATTTGTTTAATCAGAAGAGTGAATATCCCATCTATGAAAGACACTCACCACAATTACGTTTATTGACAATTGAGTTATATGGTCATGTATCTCTGGTGAGTGTGTTTTCAGTTACTTTAACACATCGGGAGTCTGGAACACTTTATTTCAGAGGATCATTGTCACATTGTGGATTTTGCACAAAAGCACTTTATACTGATTTACTATTATTGAATATTGTCATATTGATTATTATTATGTTTGAAAATGTATGTTTATGAAAATGTACACATTGTTTGGAGGTTTATGCATGTTTATGAGCAGTAGCGCAGTGCACACTATTTATCAACTGGCTTTGTACTGTCTGCTTACAACATGAATTGCTGTTACTGGCAGGATCCCCAAGTAAACTTTGCAACAGATTCACATTAAATATTTACTTAAAGGAAACGGTATACACGGAGGCATGATGCCCAACATACTGAAAATTAGTTTGATTACATTGCGGTTGATTGAAACCACTATTTACAGGGTTATTTACAAAAGGGTGAAGAGTTTGGAGAAGGCAGGAGAAGTGAACAATCTAGGACAACATAGCTAAATGGGAAAGTGAGCTGGATTGGAGAATTTTTCCAAATCAGCTATGTTGTCCTACATTGTTCTCCTCTCCTGCCTTCTCCAAACTCTTCACCCTTTTGTGAATAACCCTGTTAATGTCTTTGATTTCTTTGCAATGGTGACAAAAAATGGGTTTGAGAGTTCAATTGCTCAAACAAATAGCCACTTGTATGGCCAGCTTAATATTTACTGAGACTATTTCAACGATCATTAAAGTACAAAACATGACAGAAATAGTGGGCCACCATTGCTAACCTCCTCTAAGGACAACTACATTTGGTTTAAGTTGTCCTTTGTGGTATGCCCCGCCTCCCCAAATGCAGCAAATCTGATTCACTATTACTTCTGTCCCATTTCCAGCAATCTTCACGAAATGGTCCTGGCCAAAGCTGTGCGGCCGTTCTTTCAAAAGATTACCCACTGGTTCCTCTCCATCGGGAGAGTAGAACTGCTGGAGGTCGTCATAAGTATGGCTAAACTAAAAAAGGAAGCCAATGTCACTTCCTATTAGCAGCTAAGGTAGCGATCTCTAGACATCAATCCTTGACGGAATGAGCACAGGTCTTACTGCTGAACTAAACTAAAAGAGACAAGCAAAGTCTCTCTTGCCAAAAACAAAATTTTCCCTCCCTCCAAATACATTTTTTGTGTTTGCTGAAGATTGCACGGGGCATGCCAAAAATAGAGCCGAGGACAATGTAATACATTATTAGTGGTGTTACATTATTAGTGGCCACCCAGTGAAAGAAGCACCTGCGAAGATACTGGTGGTGGAGGACATAGCACTGACAGGTTCCTGGACCCGTTATAACTGGAGGACAGCCCAGTAGGAAGTAAGGTGTGCCATAATCTGCAAATACATGCACATTATGCAGAGAGTTCACCCCCCATCAATGCATGTTTAATACTGTTTTAAAAATATTGTCAAACATAATGACAATGAAGACCCTCGTGGCCTCTGACCAAAACAGGCCCAGACAAGCTCAGACAGCTTGGTCCTATATTGTAGTTCATAGCGATTGAGCTGCATTTTAAAAACCAAGCTCCGTAAGACCCATCTAAGAACACCTCTAAATGCCTATCTAGTTTAGTGGCTTCTCTTGTTTCTGCCGTAACCTTCAAAAGACTACACTCCCTAAACAAATCCTATAATCCTAGACTCTAAATCAGGGGTCTCACAGTACCAGCCCACGGGCCAATTGCAGCCCACGAAGCAGTACTATGTGGCCAGCAGCCAGTTGACAAGTCAGGCATGCAGTCACGGACCGCGTACCTGACTTGCAGGAGCAGCTACACGGTCTGCATCTCTGTTGCATGCAGACCGCATAGCTGAAACACCCAGCGCTCAGTTCCTGGATAATGATTGATTCCTAACCGCATGTAATCATAACATACCATTACATGCAGTAAACGGATGACAGCTGCTGCTTGTAAAAGGCATATTAGGGATTCCTGCTGCAGGAAAACACAAGTTCCTGACGCAGGAATCCCTAATTACACCTAAACTTACAGGTGTGAATGGGACCTTATTGTGTGTATCTTAGTGTTTGTAATTCTGGTTGTGGGGTGTGTATATATTCCTGTGTGTGTGTATATTTCTGTGTGTAAATGAATGTGTGAATTTATTGGTCCTCAATTAATAAAATTAAAACCTATGAGGGAAAAACACACCCACATATATTGACACTGCACACAGCTATACATACTGATATGACACACACAGAAACATTAAACACACATACTGACATCACTCACAGAAATCCTGACAGTACACAAACCATCACAAAGACATATACTGACATTATAAACACACACAGACATTAACACTGGTACCAAATATAGTCACATTTTATTTCGAAGTATGCAATTTGGCAAGCGGCCCCCATTGGGAAATGTGTCCAGTAGCCTCCGAGTGAATTGAATTTGAGACCCCTGCGCCAAATAAATGATACTACCGAGGTTATATACATTACATGTTATGCAACTATCTGTAATTTTACCTTTTCTATATTCTTTTAACTCATGCCTTGGTTTTATATTAGCCTTGAAATAAATTATAATTAGTTGTGTTAACCATTGCACAACTCTCAACCGTACCCGTAAACATACAACATTTCTCTCCTCTCAACTCCCCCCCCCCTTCCCCATGATGATGTTAACACATTCGAATATCAAATGTGTTTAAAATAATTGTTTTCCGCAAGCTTTGATATTGGACCTAATCTTTTGGCAAGCAACACAATTCCTATACACCGTATGTTTCAAGTGAATATTTAGGGTGATGCCTGGCTGGAGCTGCAATTTATAGACAAGATGAACTGTTAGTCTGCCTTATTGCTGTTTCTATTGCCCTTGCAGCTTGCTCTTTCCTAGAACCAAGTTTAATAGCGTCCCACAACACTCTAAAAGCAATATATAGTCATTTCAATTATTATATTTTACATTTTTAGATGTGCATGCAAAAATCAGTTTGCTGTAAGTAACCTTCTAAATGTGTTTTAATATTTTAGAAGCAGTGTTCCATGTACAATTGGTATTATATACAGTATATGTTCATGAAGTCAGACATATTTGCTAGATTTGTCACTGTTGGCGTTAGGGATGCACAGATACTTTTTGAGTACCAGTGCAGATACTTGGCATTTTCATGAGAACTACCAGGGTTGCAGCGGTTGCAGCTGGGACTGGGCTCTGACGCTCCACCACTGTCCTGAAATCATTAGTCTGTATTGTTTTAGAAAAACTGTCACATGACAATAAACAAAAATGTATCAGTACTCATACTTGTAAGTACTCGGCAAGTACCAGTACTCGTACTCGCAAAACTGGTATCTGTGCATCCCTTTATTTATATTTATAAAAACAAAATCGTACATTAAAACAGAGATGTACAAATCCCAGGAGCTCCGTGTGCTCCTTACAAATGACAGCTGACTCCTAACTTCTGAATTCTTCTCCAGTGTAGTCTTGGAGCTCAAAAGTATCGGTACATGTACTCGTACTCGTACCGAGTACTGTACTTGGTATCTGTGCAACCCTAGTTGGCGTTAAAGAAGGGTCCCAGCGTGGTTCAGAAATGTTGGCTGTGGGGGCCCTTTACGTGACAACTTGATACTAAAATAAAACACTGAAATATAACAAGGGAGTGCTGGCAATGTTCCTGCAAGGCGGTCCTACATTTTTAAAATATAATATAAACATAATAAAATCTGCTTGGACACTGCAGCACAATGTGAATTATAAAGCAACAAATGTTTTGGCACAGACAGACCAACACATATTTTTTCTTTTTTTCTATTCATTATGATTATGCTGGTAATCTTATAACCCATTATACTGTGAGATAAACAGGATTATAAACCCAACAACACAGAATGACTAATGCAGTGATGAAGGTACAGGCAGTCCCCGGGTTACATACAAGATTGGGACTTTAGGTTTGTACTTAAAGTGACATTAAACCCTCAGATTTTTTAACATAAAACAATACTGTAATGTGTGCCTATGTTTTATTTTTTTCTGTTTGCATTGTTTGTTTGCATTTTTATTTAACTTTTTTTATTTGTCTTTTTAATTTTATTTTTTAAAACTTTTTTTATTGTTTTTTTATTTTAATGCTGGGAGCAATAGCCAGCCTGCTATTGGATATTTCAAATTGCAATAGCCAATA